GGAACTACAGGCATGCACTACCACACCCAGCTAATTTTTAAATTTTATTGTAGAGAGGTCTCACCAAGTCACCTAGACTGGTCTCAAACCCCCCGGACTAAGGTAGTAGTCCTCTCGCCTCAGCCTCCCAAAGTGCTGGGATTACAGGCTTGAGCCACCGTGCCTGGCTAAGTTTTTTCAAAGAAGAAAAACTGCGGAGATGTACTATGACTAATAAGTCTCATCAAGGTTGATAACGTCTCTGTGAGACCTATGGAGAGACATCAGAACTTTAGTCTGCCTAAAGTCACAGTGAGTAGATGAAAGGATTTCATCTTACAACCTGCCCGACATGGAGGTTTAGAACAGGAGTCAGCAAACAACAGCCTGCCTCTTGTTTTTGTACAGCCATCAAGCCAAGAATGATTTTTACATTCTTTTAATGCTTAAAAAAATAACGGTATTTTATGACACATAAAAATTACATGAAATGCATGTTTCAGCGTTCATAGATCAAGTTTTATTGGAAGCCATTATCATTTGTTTACTTAATTGTCTGGCTGTTTTCACACTACAACAGCAGTTGAGAAATTGCAACAGAGTCCCTATTGTTCGCAAAACCCAAAATATTTGCTGTTTGGCTTTTTATAGAAAAGGTCTGCTGACCCCTATTCTACAATCACCTTGGAGACCAACAAGATACTGTTCTATGATTCTATTGGAATCATGAAGGATTGGAGTGGGCAGGGAAAATGGAGACCATAGAACTCGATTCCCTCTTTGGACTTTCCATAAAGCCGGATAAGCGACAGCCTCCCAGAAGAGACAAGTTCCAGTAAGGTGACTGGTATTCATGTCTGAGCCCACACGGCACGGGTTCGTGACCACCTTCTGAGAGTTATCAGATGACTTTGTTCCTCACAGTTCAAGGAATTGGACATAAGAATCTTCAGCCCAGGAGAGGAGAAGTGTGTGAGTAGGGGACAGCAGTGCAGAAGGGGAAACTGAATACAAGTGAGGAAAGGTACTTGGCACCAGAACTGGGGAAGTCCTGGCCGTGCTCTGCCCTGTGGCTGATTACTGGCAAGTGCCGGAGGAGTGGTCCCCGAAGAGCAGAGGTGGTGGACAGGAAATCCAGTCGGAAAGGCTCCAAGGCTGAGGCAACTGCCAGGCCTAGTGTGACAATAAGAGGGTGTACTCAGGGCTCAGTTGAGCAGTTTGGGGTTAGGCAACACGAAAAGGAGCCCAGAGCTGAGATCAGATGAAGGACCTCGGGAGCAGCCCAGCTCTCACGAGCCACTTGCTCTAGATGAGCATGATCTTGCCTCTGATGAATTCTGTCCATTTGGGGCTTCAGACACACCCAGGCCAGGTCCTCACAAGAGGTGAACTGCTCTCTCTCTTTTTTTTCATAGAGACAGAGTCTCACTATGATGAGCAGGCTGGTTTCGAACTCCTGGTTTCAAATGATTTCCCTGTCTTAGCCTTCCAAAGTGTTGAGATTACAGGTGTGAGCCACAATGCCTGACCTGAACTGCTCTTTTTTTTTTTTTTTTGAGTTGGAGTCTCACTCTGTCGCCCAGACTGGAGTGCAGTGGCCGCTTCCGGCCACCGCAGCCTCAACCTGCTGGGCTCTGGCGATCCTTTCACCTCAGCCTTCCAAGTAGCCGGAATTACAGGCGCGCGCTACCACGCCCAGCTGATTTTTTGATTTATTGTAGAGATGAGGTCTCGCTGCCCAGGCGGGTCTCGAACCCGCGGGCTCAGGCAATCCACTCACCTCAGCCTCCCAAAGGCGCGGGATTACAGGCTGAGCCACCGAGCCCGGCTCTGAACTGCTCTTTATTGAGTGCCAGGCTTCACTGGAGGAGGTGCTGCCAGGAACACAAGGATGGGAAAGCCAGATCGTTCCCACAGAAACTTACATTCCAAGGGGAAGTCAAACAATTAACGAGAATATCCAATCGAGGAAGGATGAGCAGCCAGCTTCCTTCAGGTGCCAGACACTCTTCTCCCTCAGGGCCTTTCTCCAGTCTCCCTTCTAGAAAGAGCCCTGGCCTCAATGCCAGAATTACACATCTGGACCACAACCGGGCTGAGGTTGCCTGTTCAGAAGATGACCAACATCATGAATAACGAGAACTCTTTTTTTTTTTTTTGAGTTGGAGTCTCACTCTGTCGCCCAGACTGGAGTGCAGTGGCACGCTCCCGGTCACTACAGCCTCAACCTGCTAGGCTCGGTGATCCTTCTGCCTCAGCCTTCCAAGTAGCCGAAACTACAGGCATGCACTACCATGCCTGGCTAATTTTTGATTTATTGTAGAGACGAGGTCTTGCCAAGTTGCCCAGGTGGGTCTCGAACCCCGGGGCTCAGGCAATCCACTCGCCTCAGCCTCCCAAAGTGCTGGAATTACAGGCTGAGCCACCGAGCCCGGCCACGGGAACTCTTAAAAGAGTTTGTAGCAGTAGAGAGGGCACCGGGGATGATGTATCTGTCCTGATTTCCTGGAGCCAGGCAAATACATTTCCTAAATAAGTCGATTTCTTCCTGAGAAAGTGGAGAACAACAAACTTAGATGTTTTAGTAGAGTGCGCCATCTTCTGGTCAGTCCACTGAGGCCTGAGGTGCAGGCGTTTCGACTGTCCAGTAAGAGAGGGAGTCTTATGAAGCAGCTGTGAACAGGGGAGGGACCCGGAAACCAGAGAGGCTTCTGCTGAGCGGATGGTTCTTGCAAGGCACAGTACCTCTTTATAAATTTATACAACAGGAAAGTGCCATTTGAAGCGGAAGGGGTTGATGTTTTTTGTCAGTGGTGCTCTGTTCTCCACTGTGGTCCAGGGAACTCAGTCTCATCAGATACAGAGAGAGCACTGTGTACCCGACTGCTGAGTATAACCTTTCAAAAGAGGTTACAGCCCTGCCTGGTCAAATCCCTCTTTTTGAGACTCAAATCCTCTGTTTGAAGACTCACTGGGTTCATGGTCATTGTCAGTCACTTTGTTTCCAGACTAATAAGCACCATTTTTTTTTGTAGCTCTATATTGCATTGTAATACATGGATCTTCTAAAGAAGGCAGCTATCATCTGTACCTATTCCTCAAGGGAGTATCTCCTTTTGTTAAGGGGCTGACAAGACACCCTTATTCTCCTTCAGTTCCTTAGTGCAGGAGCTGTCCAAAGTATTTTATGTTCTCAGAGAGAAGTACTGATCTCATCCTCTACCACTCAACTCCCAATGCAAGGTGGGAATTGATCCACAATAGTTTCTAAAATCTGCAAATGCCAGGGGCCTAAAATTCTTTGCTGTCAGTCTGAGAAACAAATTCTCCACACACACTTTCAGCACTTGCTATGATGACTCCTTTCTGCGTTTCTGGACTCCCAAGGGAGATGCCTCCGGTTGGTCTTGTCATTTAACTCAACTTATTTTTCAGACACAACTTATTTGAAAACTTTCAAGCATTAACATCTTTATTCTTAAGAAGCATAATTAAGATTACTTATAAGAAAAGACACTGTCTTTGTTGACATTTAATATATATTCAAATGGCATACCATGTGTCTTAGTCCTTTTGTGTACCTAACAGAATACCTGAGACTAGGTAATTATAAAGAACAGAAATTTATCTTCTCACAATTCTGGAGGCTGCAAAGTTCAAGATCAAGGTGTAGGCAGGTTTGGTGTCTGGCAAGGGCTGCTCTCTTTTCCAAAATAGGGCCTTGCGGCTGCGTCCTCCAGAAGAGAGGAAGGAAGGAATGCTGTGTCCTTGTGTGGCAGAAGGCAGAAGGGCAAAAGGAACCATACTTCCTCCATAAAACCCTTCTATAACAGCATTAACCCATTCACAAGAGTGGAAACTTCATGACCTAAACACTTCCCCCAAAGACCCCACCTCCCAACACTGTTGCATTGGAGATCAAGTTTCCAACACATGAATTTGGGGGACACATTTGGACTATAGTGCATTTTTAGTCTGTAAGGTTGGTTCTGTAATAGCATTGCTAGACGCAACATTTTACTCAAGATTTTTTGATCTATACCAAGCTAGGAACTTTGGAGCCAGAATCTTGGAGCATCTTAAAACTCAAGGTTTTTATTTACTTTTTTTAATTTTTTTTGAGTTGGAGTCTCATTCTGTTGCCCAGACTGGAGTGCAGTGGCTGCTCCCGGCCACCGCAGCCTCGACCTGCTGGGCTCTGGCGATCCTTCTGCCTCAGCCTTCCAAGTAGCTGGAACTACAGGCGCGCGCTACCACGTCCGGCTAATTTTTTGATTTATTGTAGAGATGAGGTCTCACCAAGTTGCCCAAGCGGGTCTCGAACCCGCGGGCTCAGGCAATCCACTCACCTCAGCCTCCCAAAGTGCAGGATTACAGGATGAGCCACCGAGCTTGGCTAAACTCAAGGTTTTTAAACATCTTAATCTGCTTGCTTGCACCCTCCAGGTGGCCAAGGCCTCATCACTCCACATTCTTTCACTCCAAAGTCCAGTAGACATTTTTTGCCTGGCCTCCAAAAGCATTTGAATTTGCACTCCAAACGTGAATTCAACTTCCTCATTTTACAGTTGAGAAAAAGAGGCTGCAAAGAGAGAAAGCAACGTGGCCAGGGAAGCAGCCCTGGATAGTAGAACACGGTCTCTCCCCTCTCCCCCTCTCTCTTCTCTCTCTTGTTTCTGTCTGTCTCTCTCTCTCTCTCTCTCTCTCTCTCTCTCTCTCGCTCTCTCTCTCTCCAGTAATTACCAAAGAGAAATGAAGGATTTGTGATTCCTCTAAAAGTAGGGTAGCTCAGGGATGATAATAATTTATTTTGTATTATACATGTCCATTTGAGTAAAGTTCACTCAAACGCAGTCTTCACTTTGTCCCTTATCCCAAAACTGACTACGGATAACGGAATAACCGGAGACGCAGTTCAGCCAGGAACTTCCTGTCCTAGTTCATGTTTCTACCCGAGCCCTCAAAAGCACAGATCGGAAGTGAGACACAAACTCTGGGCGGAGAAAACCACCTATCCGTCGCACTGGCCGGAAGACGACGGTGCAGCCCTTAGAAGGGTCCCCCGCTAGTTCCTGCTGCGCGCGGTTGCCGTTGCCCGCCCAAGTAGAGAGTATCCGAAGGTGTCCGCGGCGCTGGGCAGGTTGTGAGATGCCGGGCGGAGGCCGATGCCCCGACTGCGGCTCTGCAGAGCTTGTGGAAGACTCGCACTACTCGCAGAGCCAGCTGGTGTGCTCCAACTGCGGCTGCGTGGTCACCGAGGGGTTCCTTACCACCACCTTCAGCGACGAGGGCAACCTCCGAGGTACCTGGGCCCTGGAGACAGCTTGGGCGGTGGAGGATTGACATCAGCTTCCGCCTCTTATCTCTCCGCATCCTGTCACACCCCCGCTTAAATATGGGGGGAATTGGCTTAAAGTGAACTAGGGCGCTGAAGGAGATAGGGACTGCCGTTCTTCTGAGCTGTCCCCAGGACCTAGTACGGTATTTGGTATATATAGTGGGAAGAACAAATGAAACACACAGAGAAAACCAAAATTCCACTTAACTTGCCTGGTCTGGTCATGGTGCAAGGATTGTGGGTCAATTCTTTAAGAACATAGCACATACTATTATTCTGAAGTAGTTTTTAGCAGCTACTGGCAAAACATCTCTTTTTTTTCCTTTCTTGGCTTGTCAAGTTCCTGACCTGTGCAGCCTTCAAAATCTGCAGCCAGGAGATTTGCCTGGATTGGATGTATAGGGGGGATATCCTAACCTTTTGCAATCTCTGTGTACTTGCTACTGCTTGTGGATTTAGAAAACCAGATGGATCCTTAACTGTGCACAGATAGGCCTTCTGTGAGACAGGGGGCAGATGCTCAGTGATTGGAATTCTTCCCCCTGACCTTGTGTGGTGGAAGGATCTGACGAATAAAAGGCTAAGCATACTATTTGTTGTTCATTGTCTTACAGAAGTAACATATTCCCGAAGCACAGGAGAAAATGAACGAGTTAGTCGCAGCCAGCAACAAGGTGAGAATGAACCTTTTATGGCACAGTGGCTTTAAAGAAAACAATCCTGATGGTGCAGCCCATCTGCCTGCTTTTCCTATTTTCAGCATTACTGGTGTAAGTTAGAGTAGAAGAGAGTGGTAATTAGAAATAAAAAATGGGGCTGGTTCTGAGAGAGGTAGCAGCATTCAGTCTAAGGTTTGGGTTTCCTCAGAGGTATGTTTGGGGTGGTCTCAAGGAGTCTGGATAAAACTTGGACTTGGCCCTGAACCAACCCAACTTCCAAAAAATGGTGAGCTGAATTGGAACTTGCTTTCTTGTTTTTAGAATGACCAAATCAAGTGTCACTCCTGTCGTTGCAGAAAGGAACATAATTTGTGCATCTGGTATTAGAGGCCAGTTTAGCAGAACTCAACTAAGTCCTAGCAAAGCTTTCTGGGAGCTGCACAGTAGTAGCTCCTTTGAGCTGTCTAACTCTTGCTGTGGATTTTCCTAGGTCTCCGCCGAGTAAGAGACCTTTGTCGAGTTCTGCAATTGCCACCAACATTTGAGGACACAGCGGTTGCCTACTACCAACAGGCATACCGGCACACTGATATCCGAGCTGCCAGGCTGCAAAAGAAGGAGGTGTTGGTTGGCTGTTGTGTCCTGATCACCTGCCGGCAGCGTAACTGGCCCCTAACTATGGGAGCCATCTGCACCCTGTTATATGCAGATTTGGATGTGTTTTCTGGCACCTACATGCAGATAGTGAAGCTCCTGGGGCTGGATGTACCATCTCTGTGCTTGGCAGAACTGGTGAAGACCTACTGTAACAGGTACCTGCCTAGTGGGAGACTCTGGGATGGGATGCTTCCTTAGACTTGAGTCTTTTGACCTCTGGCTGTCTTTTTTTTTTTTTTTTTTTGCCAAAGCCTATCTAAAAGGCTGTGGGAGAAAGATCTATTCTCTCTAGTCTATGTTTGTAGTAATAAGGTTAGTATCATTTTCCATTTCTGGAATAATTTTCGAATCCCTTTGCTCTCACAGCCAGGTAATGATGTGGGGAATTAGGTGTCAGCCTTGGCACAGGGCTGCTGAGTTGCACCATTTCTGTATGTGCTTTGTGAGTGGCAGTTCCTGGAGTTTTGTGTGGCTGTATGTAGCAGCCCTGCCTCGCAAGCTTATCTTCGAAGAGGACCCAAAGGATATCAGTTAATGACAGCTAGGGTTAGAAGCTAAGCCCTTTTTTCTGTTTTTAAAAGTAACTGTGTTCTTTTCTTTTTTTTCTGATAAATATAGTAGAAAGCAAAGGCTGTTGGTGTCAAATAGCCTTGGATTTGAAGCTTGGTTACTTCCTAGCTGGGTGACTATGCAAGTTTTTCAACTGTACATGCACATAACAGGGTGCATTTGCATGTAGATTAAATGAGGACGTCAGGATAATGGCTGACTGGGACATGCTCAACACATGGTAGCACTCTTCTCCATTCTCCTGCCTTCCCCTAATAAGCAGAAGACACACCATGTTTCTCTCCATATTTTTTTTTAACTTGCTGCCCAGTGAGCTTGAGTGTTCCCAAGAGAGCAGAATAGCTTCCCCATCTTGAATGAACTGTCCTTCCTCACTCTGGGAGAACAACTCCCATAGTTATTGAGACCCGACCCTCATTTTGGTTGTTTCAGCTTCAAACTGTTTCAAGATTCTCCATCTGTGCCAGCCAAATATGTGGAAGACAAAGAGAAGATGCTGTCACGTACACTACAGTTGGTGGAGCTGGCAGACAAGACGTGGCTGGTAACTGGGCGGCATCCTTTGCCTGTCATCACTGCAGCGACTTTCCTGGCTTGGCAGTCGCTGCGGCCTTCAGATCGGCTGTCATGTTCCCTTACCCAGTTTTGTAAATTGGCAAATGTGGACTTGCCCTACCCCGCTTCCTCCCGCCTGCAGGAGCTGCTGGCTGTGCTGCTGCGGATGGCTGCGCAGCTGGCCTGGTTGCAGGTTCTGAAACTTGACAAACGGTCTGTGGTGAAGCACATTGGGGACCTTCTCCAGCACCGCCACATACTGGTCCGCGCAGCTTTTCAGGACAGAACAGCAGAAATGGCAGCCCAAGAGAAGGAGCTGCAGGGAAAGGGCCAGGGGCAGGGAGGAGAGGAGGTAGGGAATCGTCCCTTAGGTTTGCCCCAGGGGAAGCGACCGGCCAGTCCTGCCCTTCTTCTCCCACCCTGCATGTTGAAGCCCCCAAAGCGGATTTGTCCCCCAGCGCCTGTCTCCACAGTCACTGGAGATGAGAACATTTCCGATAGTGAAATTGAGCAGTATTTGCGTACCCCTCAGGAAGTTAGGGACTTTCAGAGAGCCCAAGCTGCTAGACAGGCTGCCACAAGTGTCCCTAACCCTCCCTGATGCACATCCATTGGGGGCACTTCATCTCATTCCGACAGCAGCATATGATGGACCTGTCATACGCAAGGATGTACGTGTACACAAGTCCTTAGGTATTTTCCCAATTGTTTGAAGGAACCAAGGGGACTCTGCAATTAGTTGGACCCTAGGTCCTGGAGTGCAGTCAGGAGTGCAGGGGCGGCTGTGGATAGGAGAGTCCTTTCCTCTGGTGCTGGAGAGCAGATTGCCTATGCATATTCTCTGGAATGGCATTCCTTTTAGACTGTTGGAAAAGCATCAGGCTCCCTTGCTCCTGGTTGAATTGGATGCATTACTGCTTCTGTAGGCCCAAAGGGGTGGCCTCCTGCTGTGGAGCAGCTGACATTCCCAACAGTTTTAACCCTTAGAGGAGCAGGAACTGGCCCTGTGTCTACTCACAGGCATTGGTGTGTGTGTGTATGGTGTTGTGAGATCCTCTACCTTGTAATAAAAGGACTGGGTGGACTAAGGCTGTAGCTTAAATGGCTTTGCAGAATTTTAATATATTAAAACAAGAGGCATCTGCTAGAAAACATTCTATTGTATAAAACCCGAGCTCTTAAAAACATGTTTTCTTTGGCACTTTTCATTCCCTCCCTCCCCTTTCCCCAGCGTATTGCAAAAAGCTCTCCAGTGCTAAGGCATTGGCAGGGTATGTAAACAGCAGCCAGCATATGTGGAAGAATAATACAAAGCTTTTTTTTTTTCTTCTACTATTGTCTGTGCAGCAAGCATAAATAACAGGACCCATCCCAAGAAGTGTGTGTGGGTTTTCTCCCTCCCCTTTGTCCTCTGTCACCTTGGTGATTAGACCAGGGTGACATGAAGATTGGAAAGGGAACCTGAACCCGACCTGGGTTTCCTGTTGCTCTTCCCAGGACCCAAGGTTCCTCCCACTGCCATGTGGTTCTGCAGTAAAAAGCTGGTGGTTGCTTTTTATGTTGAAAAAAATCTGAGTGCTGGTGTTGAAGAGTAATGAAGGCACAGACCCCTGATGATCTGCAGGGACCCTGGCCATTGTCTTGCGACCTGGCTTGGGCTTCTGAGTCAAGAAACCGGTTTGACATTCTGACAGGTTGACAGGTTTCTCCCTACTCAAGCTGGAGATCAGATAATTGGGGTGATCCTCCCACATGGCCTCATAGAGGCAAGGAGGTGCTCTTCCTTAGTCCCTTGGTATTGGAATGCTGAGACTGGGGAGGGGGGCCTTGGAATTGAATAGCAAGTGCTTCTGCAAACTCTGCCTGCAGCCTTACCAGAGGGCTGCTCTTCAGACCATTGACTAAGTGTAGGGCAGGACTAGATCCTGCCCTAGTTCCAAGTACTCCCCTAAGATCACCCTCAGGCACCTGGCAGAGTCAGCTGCTTGTGTGCAGGGCCTGGGCTTTGTCCCAGTGTGCCACCTCTGAGCCCTGCTGTATGATCTGAGTAGCACTCCTGTGGGAGTGGTGGCTTTATCCATAGGCATGCACCCTTCCCACCGGCCTCCTCTCCTGGCTGTTGATCTCCAGAGCTGCCTTTCACAATGCCCGCCCTCTCCTCTTGCATAGTTGATCTGAAAAGCAGCACCCTGTTACCTCCCATTGGTCCTGGTCACCTGGCTCATCTGCTGGCCATCATGCCAGCCAAATGGGAGGAGAGAGGACTAGGCTCTGGGCGGGGACTGGGACAGCAGAGTGCAGAGGGAACAGTCCCGAGCTCCCCTCATCTGTGCCTTCCCTGGGAGGCTGTGGCCTCCCGAGAGGCAGCTGGACGAGTGTGGGAATACTCAGGGGGCCCACCTGGGCTGTGCTGTGCCCTTTCACTCTCGGGGTGGGTTACCCCATAAACAGGTGACTTTCCCCCTACCTCCCGGCTGGACGGAAAATGCATCCTGCGTATTTCTGGGATTGTCTGTCGCTACCAGGGAAGTGGCAAGCACCTGCCTGTCTCCTTCCCCTGCCACCGGGACTAACGCTGGCGACCCCGGGGCGCAGCCGTTGGCACATCCGCCTCTAGCCTGCCGACGTACCGAGACGTCTTTGAGGGCCCGAGAGGCACTGGGGGATGCGAGCCCGCGTGGCCAGCTGTCCGAGAGCGTTGCCCGCCCCACCCTAGACGGTGGTCTCGCTCTTCCAGAGGCCAGTCTTCATGCAGCCGCCCGCCGCCTCCGTGCCCGTCGTGCTGCTGTCGTCGTACTTGCCCCTGGGGGCGCCGTTCAGGCTGGCGGCGTTGAG